TTTTTTTTTTTTAATCTTTAATCTACACTTACATGAAGAATACTATGTTTACTATGCTCTCCCCTATATCAGCTCCCCCCTAAAAACCACCTTACGGTCACTGTCCATCAGCACAGCAAAATGTAGAATCACTACTTGTCCTCTCTGTGTTGTACAGCCCTCCCTCCCCTTTCTCCCTCCCCCCATATAGCTGTCTTTTTAACTCAATTTTCTAAAAATTATTTTTCTCAAGCACTTGCTGTTCACCAAATCCAGTATTTTTAGGCTCTGTCCTTTTAGTTCCCTGTGGAATGTAAGCTTCAGGCCTCTTGCTTAGAGGAGCCTTTAAAATATTTATGTTGTTGAATATTTCTGTAAAATTTCAAAAGTAAAATATTTTTGCATTCTTGTTCTCAAGCTTCAGTCTCAACAAACCTGAATTTGCAACTTTATAAAAGGGGGTCTGCCCATTATAAAAGAAGTTCATCACATTCTGTTGCAGTCTGTAGAGGTAACAAAATGGGGCATGGCTACCTGCAACTTGATGATAGCTAAGGACAGAGCTAATTGCAATATTAAGGCTTACATCTTGGATTGAACAAAGAATTATATTCTTTCCATACCAGGTCCCAGGTCTGGTCCGTCCTTATTATTACAAGTTCAGGAACTAGATTTTAACCAGTTTGACCAAGGTGATCAAGCAATGGAAGATTAATTTATGCTAACCAAACTCACAAAAGGTTATTTATAAACCAGAATGTTTCTTAATATACAAGAAGGAATCAGTACCTTAATATTGACTATCTGCTACCCAGGATACACTTAACTGGATCAAGGATATATTATAGAGACCAAATATGGTTACAAAACCTTTAATGTTCAGGATTTAACATGAAAACTGAGTGCCTAAGTCCTCCTCACTGCAGGGATATGGCCTAAACCCCGAATTCCTTGAAAAGGAGTAAAGCTCTCTTTCTTGTGTGACTTCAGCATGTGTATGATTCTGATCTACAAGTCTTACCTGGTCTTGGATCTAGTTGGTTTGTGTCTTAAACATCACACCCCTGCACCCTATTTGGCTGCTATATGCCAGAATTGTCCATCTCTTCTAGTACCCTTTTGCCTCTTATTTCATTCATCTCTGAAAGGGCAAGCTCCCAGATTCTATTTCAGCCAATTGGGACCTGGGTCCTATTTCAGCCAATCGGGACCTGGATCCTACTTCACCCAATCAGAGCTTAGTCCCTCTCTCCCCTTCAGTCAGCAAGAACACCCACCACTCCTGGACCTTGCCAACTGACCAAAGCCACGACTCATCACCCCCCAACTACCCCCAGGCCCAGCCAATCAGCCAGGGCCATGGCCATCACCCCCTCAAACCACCCTGGAAACCCATAAAACCTTTGTTCTGGGGAAAACACACTCTCTTTCTCTGGCATCTTGCCACTGCGTTGGTGTAGATGAGAGATTGAGCTCCAGCTAGCTCGAATAAAGGCTCTTTACTTTTGCATCGGTGTTGGCTCCTTGGTGGTCTTCTGGGATTCGTGACTTTGGGCACAACAATGTCCTCTCTTCCCTTTACGTTATCTCCACGTGAAGGGTTTCCTTCACTTTTCAGTGCCCAGGCTGTTTTCCCCAAGGTCCCTCCTAACCTTAGTTCTGTGGTCACCTACCTACTTGCACTGTGTCCCGCCCACTAATCATCACCTCCTAGACCCTCATATGCCTGGACCAGACTGGCACCACCGCCCAGACTGGAAAGGAGGCGCTGAACCGCGGTCGGGCGCTATCCTTTCTGGGTGAGGACGCCCCGGGGCCCGCTCCCCGCTCAGCGGGGAAGCTGTGAGGAACGCTTCATTGTGCACTCTGGTCCCCCTCTTCCATTTTCTCCCAACCCTACAAAACCTCCACCACTTTTACTCTCTTGGTGAGTATCAGAATCGTCTCCTGCCCTCGCTTAGGAGGAGCGATCTCTCGGCCACGGCACAAAGGTGCCTGCTTGCTTGACATTACAAGCAAGTGTGGATGCTGATGTCTGCGCGTCAGTGTACGGCACCTGGGCCAAACCCCAGGTGAAGGGGCAAAGGTGCTTGGCGCTAAGCCAATCATAGCTCCTGATGACAGGGCCTAGCCAATCAGAACACGGGAGGCCTGGGCACTCGGGGCGGGGCCGAGCTGGCGAGGAACCGCCCGCTTGCCGCTCGGTGGCCATTGCCTAAGCCCAGAGCTAGCGGGAGCGTAGCCGGTTCAGACTTCTGGGACCGAACACCTCCGAGCTGGGAAGCGGAGTTTCTCTACAGGCCTTGGTTTTAACAAGTGTTGGTACCTGCCCTGGACGCATTCTGACCTGGGTCTTATCTCTCTCTGGAGACTTCGTGCCTATGGCTGGGGACAGTGGGAGGTCGTTACCTTGACGATGACAGTATGCGGCCCGCAGTCCTACAGAGGGTGAGTTTGCGGCGGGCCAAGTCCCATCTAACCTCCCTGCCGCCTTCACCTAGGACCCGTGACTGTGTCGCAGAAGAAATCATAACAGCACTGGAATTGCTAGTTTGCTATTCAGCATCTTTTAGACCTTCGAACGAGATGCATTTCACTTCAAATTTGTTTCCCACTTGAAAAGCTTTGGGTCTTTCCACCCGAACGGATTTGAAAGAAATATACTTTTAAAAGCTTCTATTATCTCATTATTTTGTCTACAATAGATTTCAATGTCTTTAACAAAATAAAAAATTAGCATTATTTTTATTATTTAAATTCTTGGAGTTAGGACCATATGCCTATATGGCACATTATCCAGAAATACCATTGCCCCTTGGCCAGGTTCTCTTTAGTTTATATTAGGAGTGGAAGGCATGAAAAGTTATAATTTGTGAGTAACTGTCTCAGGAAACAAGAGGCGTTTTAAGCTGTGATACTTCCTTATTTGTGGGCAGTGCCACTTGAAAAAGCAGGTATGTTCAATGTGCTGTGACCGAATGTGCACTTAGTTGCCAGAATAAATTTGAAATAGTCAACTTGCATAATGTTAGCTTGTGATATGCTTCAGAACATCCTAGACATGCTTGAGATAATTTTAATTTTGTTTACTTTGCATTTTTAAGTATGGAGGACAATAATTGCAAATTATTCTAAAATATTTAAAAATGATCCAGGTTATAGATTCCAGCTATTTTTGTCTTTGGCATGATAAACCTAAAGGCTAGTCCTTAATAAAACATGCCTTAGTGGAAGGAAAAAAAATTAAGGAAGAAGATTACATTGAAATTTGTTTTCTAGCACAGACACTTTATTTATAAGTAGTTAATAGTTATTAAATGGAAATTAAAATATCAAGTGAAAAGCTAGTGTAAGGGACACTGCTCTTTAAATGGCTTATAGCAGAACCTATTAGTAAAACTGGTAGTAAAATAATAAAATCATTGGAGTTGGTTTTGACTGGGATATATTTTCATTTTTTACCCCCAAAGATCAACCTTCTTATATATAAACACATATAAAAATAAAACCCTAAATTATTAAATATAAACTGCTGAAATGTATACATTGGATTGTCACAGTTCGCTAGAACAAAGAGGATGTTTGTTTTGTTTTGTATTGATACCTCAGTGTACCGATAGTGAAACAAGTAAACATCACAATTCACAATCTGGGTAAATTAGCTTTAGATTGTCATGTGCACACAATTAATATAATAGGCAAGGGTTTTTTTCCTTTCCAAGTTTATAAATAAGTATGTTTTTATATTAGATTAAAAAAATTTAACTTTGAATCATCATGTGAATATATAGTTACCAAAAGACTTTTTTTCTAAAAAATTTTTAGAATCATATTGGGAAAGAGCAACATTCTGTATCTTTAATTCTGGAATTGAATTTCAAAGTCAGATTTTTTTATACTCTTATTTTGGTATCATTAATATACAATTACATGAGTAACAATCTGGTTACTAGACTCCCCCCATTATCAAGTCCCCACCACATACCCCACTTCAGTCACTGTCCATCAGCGTAGTAAGATGCTATAGAATCACTACTTGTCTTCTCTGTGTTATACTGCCTTCCCGGTGCTCCCCCCACACCCTCCTGTATTATGTGTGCTAATCGTAATGCCCCATTTTCCCCGTTATTCTCTCTTCCCACCCGTTTTCAGCAATCCCTTTCCCTTTGGTAACTGTTAGTCCATTCTTGGGTTCTGTGAGTCTGCTGCTGTTTTGTTCCTTCAGTTTTCCTTTGTTCTTATACTCCACATATGAGTGAAATCATTTGGTACTTGTCTTTCTCCGCCTGGCTTATTTCACTAAGCATAATACCCTCTAGCTCTATCCATGTTGTTGCAAATGGTAGGATTTGTTTTCTTCTTATGGCTGTATGATATTCCATTGTGTATATGTACCACATCTTCTTTATCCATTCATCTACTGATGGACACTTAGGTTGCTTCCATTTCTTGGCTATTGCAAATAGTGCTGAGATAAACATAGGGGTGCATATGTCTTTTTCAAACTGGGCTGCTGCATTTTTAGGGTAAATTCCTAGGAGTGGAATTCCTGGGTCAAATGGTATTTCTATTTTTAGTTTTTTGAGGAACCTCCATACTGCTTTCCACAATGGTTGAACCAATTTACATTCCCACCATCAGTGTAGGAGGGTTCCCCTTTCTTCACAACTTCACCAACATTTGTTGTTGTCTTTTGGATGGTGGCCATCCTTACTGGTGTGAGGTGATATCTCATTGTGGTTTTTATTTGCATTTCTCTGATGATTAGCCATGTGGAGCATCTTTTAATGTACCTATTGGCCATCTGAATATTTTATTTGGAGAAGTGTCTGTTTAGATACTGTGCCCATTTTTTAAATTGGATTATTTGCTTTTTGTTTGTTGAAGTGGGTGAGCTCTTTATATATTTTGGGTGTCAACCCTTTATCAGATCTGTCATTTATGAATATATTCTGTAGGATACCTTTTTCTTCTACTGATGGTGTCCTTTGCTGTACAGAAGCTTTTCAGGTTGATATAGTCCCACTTGTTCATTTCTGCTTTTGTTTCCCTTGCCTGGGGAGATATGTTCATGAAGAAGTCGCTCATGATTATGTCCAAGAGATTTTGCCTATGTTTTCTTCTAAGACTTTTATGGTTTCATAACTTACATTCATGTCTTTGATCCATTTCAACTTTACTTTTCTATATGGAGTTAGACACTAATCCACTTTTATTCTCTTACATGTAGCTGTCCAATTTTGCCAGCACCAGCTGTTGAAGAGGTTGTCATTTCCCCATTGTATATTCATGGCTCCTTTATCATGTATTAATTGACCATATATGCTTGGGTTACTATCTGGACTGTCTATTCTGTTCCACTGGTCTGTGGTTCTGTTCTTGTGCCAGTACCAAATTGTATTGATTGCTGTGGCTTTGTAGTAGAGCTTGAAGTTGGGAAGCGAGATCCCCCTGCTTTATTCTTCCTTCTCAGGATTGCTTTGGCTATTTGGGGTCTTTGGTGGTTCCATATGAATTTTAGAACTATTTGTTCCAGTTTGTTGAAGAATGCTGTCGGTATTCTGATAGGGATTGCAATGAATCTGTAGATTGCTTTAGGCAGGATGGCCATTTTGACAATATTAATTCTTCCTATCCAAGAGCATGGGATGAATTTCCATTATTAGTGTCCTCTTTAATTTATCTTAAGAGTGTCTTGTTGTTTTTAGGGTATACGTCTTTCCCTTCCTTGGTTAGGTTTATTCCTAGGTATTTTATTCTTTTTGATGCCATTGTGAATGGAATTGTTTTCCTGATTTTTCTTTTTGCTATTTCATCGTTAGTGTATAGGAAAGCAACAGATTTCTGTGTATTAGTTCTGTATCCAGCAACTTTGCTGTGGGGTTTTGCATATATGGCCTTTATTATTTTGAGGTACTTGCCCTCTATACCCATTTTTTTGAGAGTTTTGTTCATGAATAGATGTTGAATTTTGTCGAATGCTTTTTCAACATCTATGGAGATGATCGTGTGGTTTTTGTCCTTCTTTTTGTTGATGTGGTGGATGATGTTGATGAATGTTGTACCATCCTTGCATCCCTGAGATGAATCCTACTTGATCATGCTGTATGATCATCTTGATGTATTTTTGAATTTGGTTTGCTAATATTTTGTTGAGCATTTTTGCATCTATGTTCATCAGGGATTTTGGTCTGTAGTTTTCTTTTTTTTGGTGTCTTTGCCTGATTTTGGTATTAGAGTGATGCTGGCTTCATAGAATGAGTTTGGAAGTATTCCCTCCTCTTCTATTTTTTGGAAAAGTTCAAAGAGATTGGGTATTATTTCCTCTCTAAATGTCTAATAAAATTCAGTGGTGAATCCATCTGGTCTGGGGATTTTGTTCTTGGGTAGTTTTTTGATTACTGATTCAATTTTCTTGTTGGTAATTGGAGTATTTTGATTTTCTGTTTCTTCCTTGGTCAGCCCTGGAAGGTTGTATTTTTCTAGAAAGTTGTCCATTTTTTCTCGGTTATCTGGTTTGTTCACATATAGATTTTCATAGTATTCTCTAATAATTCTTCATATTTCTGTGGTATCTGTTGTGATTTTTCCTTTCTCATTTCAGATTCTGTTTATGTGTATAGATTCACATTTTGTCTTAATAAGTCTGGCTAGGGATTTATCTATTATGTTTATTTTCTCAAACAACCAGCTCTTATTTTTTTCTATTGCTTTTATTCTTCTCAATTTTATTTGTTTCTTCTCTGATCTTTATTATGTCCCTCCTTCTGCTGACTTTGAGCCTCATTTGTTCTTCTTTTTCCAGTTTCTAGGAATTTAGACTATTCATTTGGAATTGTTCTTCATTCTTTAAATAGGCCTAGAATACTATATACTTAGTACTGCCTTCACTGTGTCCCACAGAAGTTGGGGCATTGTACTGTTGTTTCCCTATATTGCTTGATCTCTGTTTTAACTTGGTCATTGATTCAGTGATTATTTAGGAGCATGTTGTTAAGCCTCCATGTGTTTGTGAGCCTTTTTGTTTTCTTTGTACAATTTATTTCTAGTTTTATACCTTTGTGATCTGAGAAGTTGATTGGTATAATTTCAATCCTTTTGAGTTTACTGAGGCTCTTTTTGTGTCCTGGTATGTGGTCTATTCTGGAAAATGTTCCATGTGCACTTGAGAAGAATGTGTATCCTGATGCTTTTGGGTGTAGAGTTCTGTAGAAGTCTGTTAGTTCTATCTGTTCTATTGTGTTGTTCAGTGCCTCTGTGTCCTTACTTATTTTCTGTCTGGTTGATCTTTCCTTTGGAGTGAATGGTGTGTTGAAGTCTCCTAAAATGAATGCATTGCATTCTATTCCCTCCTTTAGTTCTCTTAGTATTTGTTTCACATATGTTGGTGCTCCTGTGTTCAGTGCATAGATATTTATAATGGTTATATCCTCTTGTTGGATTGACCCCTTTATCATTAAGTAATGTCCTTCTTTATCTCTTGTGACTTTCTTTGTTTTGAAGTCTTTTTTGTCTGATATAAATACTGCAGCACCTGCTCTTTTCTCCCTATTGTTTGCATGAAATATCTTTTGCCATTCCTTCACTTTCAGTCTGTGTATGTCTTTGGTACCTGACTACCTACCTACCTATCATCTGTGTTTGAGGTCCCAAAGACCACTTCAGTTTCCATGATTCGCTGGGAGGACTCACAGCATTTATTATGTAGTTGTACTCCTGGTTATGATTTATTATAGTGAAAGGATATAAAATAAAATCAGTAAAGGAAAAAAGGCACATGGGGTGAGTTCCAGAGGAAACCTGTCACATGATTCCAAGAATCCTCTTCCAATGGAGTCACACATAGTGCACTTATTTCTTCCAGCAATGAGTTGTGACAACACATGAAATATTGTCTACCAAGGAAAATTCACTAGAGACCAAGTGCTCAGGGTTTTGACTGTGGGCTTGTCATGTAGGCACCATCTGCCTGATTTGTACCAAAATTCCAGACTCCCAGAAGGAATGCACGTATTCAGCATAGACAATATTGCTTGTACAGTTAGCCACTTCATTAATTCTGGAAATGAGGGGACCCTCCTAAAATCCCAATTCCAGGTGCCAAGCAAGGGCTCAGTTTGCAAGCAGACCTTTCTAAGAGAGCAAGCTCAGATGTGCTTATGTTGTCATACACACTCTTTGTTTTTATTCAGTCTCACTAGAAGTTGATTGATTATATTTATCTTTAGAACCAACCTTTGCTTTGTTGATCTTTACTGGGTACTTCTTTTCTATTTCATTAATTTTTGTTTTTTAGAATTCCATTCCTTCTACTTATTTTGGGTTGGTTTATTTTACAGTTCTTTTTCCTAACCTGTTGAGATAGATGCTTACTGTTGTAAGCCGTTTCCCCTGTCTCTTATATGCATTTAAAACTACATGTTTCCTTTTAAAAAACATCTTCATATGTATCCCACCAATTTTGATTAGCATCACAGTATTCTCTCATTTCCCTTATTTTTCAAGCATGTGGAAATTTTCTAGGTTTCATTTCCCTGGTTATTTACTTTTGACACACTTGTCCTGTTATCTGAGTGTATGTTTATTGAGTGTACTTGCTTTTTGGTTCAGAATATAGTCAATGGGAAAAGAAAGATTCCTCCTGTGCTTCAAAAATACTCAGAGTCAGGCCTGTTAATTGTGGTGTTTAAATCTTCTAAATCTTCTGAATTCTTAATGATTTTTTTTTGTATGTTTGTTCTATCCAGTACTGAGAGGAAATGTTAAAATCTTCCTCTGTGATTGTTGTCTGTTTTTCATTGCAGTTCAGTTAATTTTTAAGTTTATAAACAGAATAGCCAAATTACTTGTGGATCAAATACAGAATTATTATATCTTCATGTTGAATCATAAAGAAATCAGCCTTTATCATTGTGAACTAGCTTCTTTTTTATTAAGGTATTATTGATATACATTCTTACAAAGGTTTCACATCAAAAAAACAATGTGGTTGCTACATTCACCCATATTATCTAGACACCACCCCCTTACCCCATTGCAGTCACTGTCCATGAGCATAACAAGATACCGGATTCACTATTGGCCTTCTCTGTGCTATACTGTCTTCCTCGTGACCCCACACACCATGTGTACTAAACATAATACCCCTCAATCCCCTTCTCCCTCCCTCCCCACCCATCCTGCCACATCACTCCTCTTTGGTAATCACTAGTCCCTTCTTGGAGTCTGTGAGTCTGTTGCTGTTTTGTTCCTTCAGTTTTGCTTTGTTGTTACTCCACAAGTGAGGCAAATAATTTGGTACTTGTCTTTCTCCGTGTGGCTTATTTCACTGAGCATAATATCCTCCAGCTCCATCCATGTTGTTGCAAATTGCAGAATTTGTTTCTTTCTTATGGCTGTGAAGTATTCCATTGTGTATATGTACCACCTTCATCCATTCATCTGCTGATGGACAGTTAGATTGCTTCCATATATTGGCTATTGTAAATACTGCTCAATAAACATAGGGGTGCATATGTCTTTTTGAATCTGAGAACTTGCATTCTTTGGGTAAATTCCTAGGAGTGGAATTCTCAGGTCAAATGGTATTTCTATATTTCGTTTTTTGAGGAACCTCCATATTGCTTTCCACAATGTTGAACTAGCTTACATTTCCACTTAGAGTGTAGGAGTCCCTTTCTCTGCATCCTCACAAGCATTTGTTGTTCTTAGACTTTTTGATGCTGGCCATCCTAACTGGTGTGAGGTGATACCTCATTGTGGTTTTAATTTGCATTTCCCTGATGATTAGTGATGTGGAGCATGTTTTCATTTGCCTGCTGGCCATCTGAATTTCTTCTTTGGAGAATTGTCTGTTCATATCCTCTGCACATGTTTTAATCGGGTTATTTGCTTTTTGGATGTTCAGGCATGTGAGTTCTTTATGTATTTTTGGACATTAACCCCTTGTCAAATATGTCATTTACAAATGTGTTCTCTCATACTGTAGGATGCCCTTTTGTTCTCTTGATGGTGTCCTTTGCTGTACAGAAGTTTTTTAGTTTGATGTAGTCCCATGTGTTCATTTTTGCTTTTGTTTCCCTTGCTGGAGGAGATGTGTTCAGGAAGAAGTTGCTCATGTTTATATTCAAGAGATTTTTGCCTGTGTTGTCTTCTAAGAGTTTTATGGTTTTATGACTTACATTCAGGTCTTTGATCTATTTCGAGTTTGCTTTTGTATATGGGGTTAAACAATAATCCAGTTTCATTCTCTTGCATGTAGCTGTCCAGTTTTGCTAACACCAGTTGTTGAAGAGGCTGTCATTTCCCCATTGTATATCCATGGGTTCTTTGTCATATATTAATTGACTGTATGTGTATGGGTTTATATCTGTACTCTCTATTGTGTTCCACTGATCTTTGAGTCTCTTCTTGTGCCAGTACCAAATTGTTTTGATTACTGTACCTCTGCCCATTTTTTAATTGGGTTTTTTGTTTTTTGGTATTGAGTCCTTAAGTATTTTGAGAGCTCCATTCTAGGTGTTTAATTCCCTTTAAAGGTGGCAGAATTTTCTGGTGAGTGTTCATCTGCCCTTTGTGTTTCCTTCTTTCATCCTCTTTTCTTATGGTATCTTTTAGTAGATCCTGGCTTTGTTCCTTTTTGAGTGTTTCTTATCTTGTATCAAACTGAGCCCTTCCTGGATCTGCTATTTGTAGCAAGTTCATGTAGACAAGAACCCATTATCTTGTTCCAGGCTAGCAGGATGGCTACCATGATTCACAATGATGTTCCTTACAACACAAGTCCTGAATGTAGTATTGACTTCTCTTATGCTTAATTTCCCTGAAACTTGTAGATGCTAGTTTATTGATAATGAATTGTTCTGCCTTTCATTTGGCCTCACGGGTAGACTGCTTCCAGCAAAAGAGTTTCTGTGGGGTTATTCAGGGCCCCCTCTCCTGCCGTTCCTTGGTGCCATTCAGTTCTACTGATGCTTTCAGTGACAGCCTGTGAATCCTGCTCCCATTATTTCAGATTTGTTTTTTTTTTGTTTGTTTGTTTGTATTTTCCTTTTCAGAGTATGTCACCAATGTTGGAGAACTCTCCTTTGGCAGCTTTGTAGCCACAGATGATCTCTTGTATCTTTCTACACTCCTGTTTGACCTTGACTACATTTGGCAGTCCCACCTCATTTGTTGTGGGTAGGGGTCACAGGTCCAGCTTAGTTTCATCAAAGAAGGAGCTACATTTCTTTCTCTCATTGGCTTTATCGTGTTCTCTGAGAGCAGAACAGAGCAGTATGGTCATTTAAAATTTAAAAACTAGAATATGCTTTTACAATTTATACTATTTATTCATTTTATTTATATGTTTTTCTTACACTAAGATCTATTTTAGGTTGTGGCTAATTGCTTATTATTTGATCTTATGAAACTATTTTGCATGTTTTTATAATAGCAACTGAAGCATGAAAATCTGGTGAACCTGTTGGAGGTGTGTAAGAAAAAGAAACGATGGTACCTAGTCTTTGAATTTGTTGACCATACAATTCTTGATGATTTGGAACTCTTTCCAAATGGACTAGATTTCCAACTAGTTCAAAAGTATTTGTTTCAGATTATTAATGGAATTGGATTTTGTCACAGTCACGATGTAAGTATTTAGTTTAAATAATTATTTTGCCAATGATTGACTATCCATATCCCAGTCAATTTAATGAGACACTTGTTTAAACCTAAGTCTGGACCAATAAAGTAATGAAATGAACTGTTACTTTGATATTATCAATTTTCCTGTGTCATAATACTTGTATTGTTCCTCCCAGGATTTCATTATGAATATTTTAGGCCATACTGAAAAATTGAAAGAGTGTACCATGGGTACCCATTTACCTACCACCTGGATTTTATACTTGTTAATAGCTTGCTATTGCTTTATAACATATTTTTCACTTATTAATCCATTTATCTATTTATGCATTTGAAAGTAAGTTGCAGACAGTAATATACTTTAACTCTGAATACTTCAGTATGCATATCATTAACTAGAGTTGAATATTTGCTTTTTTTAAGCAACATTTGTTGAGTGAAATGCGTAAATTTTAAGTGATGAATTTTGACAAATGCATATGCCCAAGCATCCATGTATTTGTTAGTTCAAATTCTCTTGCCTAGTTGTGAAGTGAGAGAATCCTTGCTCTTACTCTATTGTCTATCACAATAATTTTATATCCTTTGAGGATCATATAAAAGCACCTGTAGGTAAAAATGACACATAAAATAGGAAATTAATAACAACACATTGATTCTGCCAATTTTATAAAATATTTTAAGTGACATTTTTGTGTGTGTGATTATAAAAGTAATAAATGCTAATGGCAGATGTGGAGCTGGCCTTGTGACCTCACTATGGTGTTTAGGATGTAATAGTAGTTGGTAGCCTATGCAGAATGCACAGCAATGGCAGATTGCCATTAGGATGCTGAATTTAAAATAAATATATTAAAGTTTTTTCCAAAATACAATCTGCTTGTATTAGAAAATTAGGCTTAATCATTTGTTTTGTCTAACTGTAGAATTTTTAGTATTATCTCCGTGTCCTGTTTTCTCCTTCCATTGTCTTGTCTTTAGAAATCTTAACCACTGACTTTGTTTTACCCTCTTTACATTTTTAATTGCCTGATGAATGCTTCCACTTGGTTGCTTAGCAATCCACCTAAAAGCCCTATGGCTAAAACTAAACTACTAATTGTTCCATCAAAACTAATTTTTTTTCTAGATTTAAAAATTTTTTGCAATGGATCTACCATTCTTTTAGATTCCCAGGTTTGAATAAATTATCTGAGATTGCTCCCTAAATTCTATTGATTCTTGATTTAAAATATTTCTAAACTGTATCTCTTCCTTTCCATTCCTCTGAGGACCAGCCTAGTTTAGGCCCTTATCACCTCCTAGTTGTTCCACAGCTCTTTTCGCTGCCTGTAGATTCTCCCTCTGATTTAGTTTGTTTATGGCCAGTATCTTTAAATACCATTCCCCAGAATCTCCTGATCTATTCTCATCATCACTCATTTGCTCTCCTTGTTATCTCCACTTGGACTCCTCTTCCGTTTCTACATTTATCCAGGTCACATTTAGTATTAAGGACCTATCTTGCAATCCACTGCTTTTATAAAAATTTTCCTGACCACCCAAATCTTTAACAATAGCTTCAGTCTCAGTCTTGAGAGCAGTCATTCACAGAACATTGATTTGGTAATTAATAATATACATTTCACCCAGTATCTTTAATTATTTAAATTAGATTTCAAGCATAAATGTTTTTTCTTAACCCAACTAGGTCCCAGGTCCTTGAAAGCCAGGGACAATTTTATGCTGTTATTTGTATTCATTATATGGACAAAAGCAGTTCTCTGTACATGGTGCATGCTAAGAAAGTAATTTTCTTAACTCTGTGTGCCAGTATATGTCATTATTTGCTTTTTTTTGTCTTAGGTCATACACAGAGATATAAAGCCAGAGAACATATTAGTGTCCCAGTCTGGCCTTGTCAAGTTATGTGATTTTGGATTTGCGCGGACACTGGCAGCTCCTGGGGAGGTTTATACGGACTATGTGGCAACCCGATGGTACAAAGCTCCAGAGCTATTGGTTGGTGATGTCAAGTATGGCAAATAAGACATCAGCAAGGGAGGCTGGAGAGGGCGCAATTAACTTTCTCTCTCTTTTTAAAATAAAATGGAACATATTCCTAGTGTAATAAAAGGTCCTCTAACACTGAAAGGAAGTTTGAGTTTGGGGAACTTCATAAAGTGATTTGTAATCATTTTTGGTGCTTCTGATTTAAACATTCTTGTGAAACAATTTGGGATAAGTATACCTATTTAAAGGTAGGGAAATCAAGATGAGTAGTGGTTTGTTTCTTACAGTGGGTTGAAAATAGATATATTTATCATTTATAAAGAGATGTAACTGGATAAATCTGATGCTGTTGGAATGAAGTGAGATGAGTGAGTGGGCAAGGGCGGGGGGAGAAACATGTTTTTAAAACAAATTGTTTCGTAAATAAATTCTTCAAATAAGAAAGTATTGTCATTTTTACTGCTTTTGATAAAAATTTTTCTCAAATATTTTCTGTAGTTTCTGTTTTCAGAATGCACAGCATTTAATATTGTCTTGATTACTCTGAGTTCTTTTTTTGCCTTACTGTAACAGTTGTACCATTTTATAGTTCAGCTATGACCTTAAGCAATTTTAAGGTAGTTGCCCCTATAGTAATGATGGCAGCATATTCTTAAGTTCTTGTGACTGATTTTTAAGGCAGTTCTGATTTCTCCTGCTGGCTTTCAGTTCTCTTCGTTGCTACTGTATGTGTCCCCAACAGCCACCTCCTTGTGGTGTGGCGTTATCAGTGTATGGTGGGATAGACTGATGAACCTTACTAAAATTTTGTGTACACAAAGAATGAATATGGGCTCCAAATCAAAACCTAACAAACTGAGTCCCAGAATAAAGTACACATAATAACTGTTTTGATTTCTCAGAAGCCTTTTCCTTCTTATATCACAGGATTGAAATTTCTGGTTATGTGACCAGTATAAAATTGGGAGTTAGAACATTAATGTTATAGGGAAATATCTCTTTATGAGTAATTTAAGCCTTACTACTACTATCCTCAATATCAAGAATACCAAATAGTAATATGCAGAACAGATTTCAGCAAACATCTTAGGATGCCAGAGTTTACACATTTCCTTTCTTTCAGGGCTGTTGATGTGTGGGCCATTGGCTGTTTGGTAACTGAAATGCTCATGGGGGAACCTCTCTTTCCTGGAGATTCTGATATTGACCAGCTATATCATATTATGATGTGTTTAGGTAAGATTATACATCTGCATTTGAAATTTTAGAGTTTTTTTCCCTATGTTTTTATTTGTATTGATTTTACAAGCTGTTGGCATATTAAAGATGGTATGTGTTTTAAGTGGAGGTAAGGAGCAAATAAGAAAACCTTACCTATCAGTCTGTTCATTCAGTCTGGCTTTGGTGGATCTGACATAGTCTTAATCATGCTCTCACCTGCCCTCCTGCCCTTCTCTCCCCAAAGAAAAGAGCAATGGTATATTTTCTCCTAACTTTTGCATTCAGTAAATCACATGCAGAGAGGATGCAAATCATCACTTATTATCTTTGGGTCAGCAAGTATGGGGTGTAGTATGATGATTACCCTCATTTTCACATTCAAACTGAGAGATACCAAGACTTCTGAGGCAGTTTAATCTTGCTACAGATAGGACTTCTGTTGTTAGCGAATTGGACAGAATTTCAAAGCTAGGCTATCAATGTCTTCTTATGTTTGTTGAAATACAAACTGCATGTTGGGAGATGGAGCTTGGAAAATGGAAATAATGGGGAAATAATTGTGGGTTCTTTAACTACTGGGTTTTAAATTTCCAGGCTAGAAGTTCAATAAACAATACAATGGTTTCTTACAGCAAAATTTCATATCTACTTAATACTAGATTAAGTATTGAAATTGAGAAAAAAGATAAAAGTGCTCAAATCAGACCTTAGATGCAAGTACAAAATCAGTCTACCAAAAACTAAATTCTTAAAGGGTAGAACTGATTTCTCTAGATTAGATTCTGACCATATGACTAGGAATATTTTCATTGTTTTGGTCAGCACTATATGCTTTGTTGCTAGGAGTAAACTGCTGATACTTAAATCTAAAAAATTATAAAATGTCCTGTGCCTGTCCTTTTCCTGTGCTCCCTCATGTCTTCAGTTCTGTGTGCAGTGGCATGTGAAATTTTCTAAATGACCATGTTGAGAAAATAATGTTAATTTTCTTGAGTTGCCTTCTGTCAGAACCACCATAAGGCCTGCCTGAGCCGCCACAATGAGAGTGCTGTCTTTGGTTGATTGTGCGTAATGAGAGGGCCCCAGATCCCTAAGCAGTGTTCTGTTCTTCTCTCTAAGCTACATTTCTGGTCTCTTTGTTATTTCTATCATGATGTACAATGACAGAGATGTGTGCTTTTCTCACTTACAGGTAGTCTAATTCCAAGACATCAGGAGCTCTTTTATAAGAATCCTTTGTTAGCTGGAGTAAGGTTGCCCGAAATCAAGGAAACAGAGCCTCTTCAAAGACGCTACCCCAGGCTATCTGAAGTTGTGATGGATTTAGCAAAGGTGATCATACTGCCTCTTTTTACTTCCTGACAGGGACTTTATATTATGGAGACTCAGTTTTCTCTTCTTTTTTCTTGCCTAGTTGATATTTTATGTCAACAATTTCCTCTGATGATTTTAATTTTTGTACAGTAAGAGAGTTTGAATAATTTGGAGGCAGGGGGTAGTTCATAGAGGTAGGCCTAAAAGTTTTACTTCTTTTAAAAAATCCTTTAGTGGTATCTAGTGTGTTTTAAGTCTAAAAAAATTCTCATAACAATATGCTATTAATGTTTAACATTTAAAATGCAAGCCTTCTGTAAGTGGAAGAGAGAAGAAAGTAGGATAAGAAAAATAAAAAGAAAGTAGAGAAGTGGGAAAATATTGAGGTGCAGGATGCAGGGTCATGACTTGTTATGTATTGTTGAAGGGTCTTTTGCTTAGCCACCATATAAAAGTAGAAATACATTTTTTGGAGTATTTTGAAGCAAATCCAAGATACTATTTCACTTATAAATACCTTAATTATTTGTAGAACTTTTCTTGTTAATTTAAAGCCACTTATTGAGTCACTTCTATTTTTACTGGCATTTAGTGGTTCCAATGAATCAGAACAGGACCTGCGTTAAAATAAAATAATTTGTGTAAACTATCTAGTGCAGTACTAGCACAGAGAAGGTCCTTTCCTTTCTATTCTACAAGGGCTTTATATTTTAAAAATTTATAGTAATTCCTTAATATCAAAACACCTAATCAATGCTCAAAGTTTCATGGATTTTCTCATAATTTTTTTAGAGTTTGAATTAGGATCCATATGAAGTCTATATCTAGATTGGTTGATAATGTCTTTTAAGATTCTTAAATTCTAAGCTCCTCTTCATCTCTTTCGTTTTTTTTAAACCTTGCCATTTATTTGTTAAACAAACTAGGTTGTTTACCCTTCCTTAGAATTTTCCACATGGCATAGTTTAATGTCCTCTGTGTTCTGTATTTCTTACAGATTCAAAGAAAAGCTAGAGCATGATCAGAATCAGGTGAAGTTTTTGGCAAGACTATTTCATAGGAGGTTTGTGTATTTCATTCTAGAGACACTGCATGTCTGATGGTCTTTCTTTTTGTGACACTAGCAACCACTGATGTCATTGTATAGATTTGTGCTGTATTTATAATTTATTATAGATATTTAAAATTTATTAACTACGAAGAGTAGTTTTCTGTTTTACTATATTTGGAAATGTAAACATAGGCAGTTTTTCTTTGATATGAGCTGTATGTATTCCTTGTTTTTCCAGAAATGCTTACATATTGACCCAGACAAAAGGCCCTTCTGTGCTGAACTCCTACACCGTGATTTCTTTCATATGGATGGATTTGCTGAGAGATATAGTACCGACTCATGTTTTTCAGATCACACCAACCTAGAGTTAAAGTAAAGCCTCTGTAACAGTAGCAACAAATATTTCCCTTATTTACCCTCCCAGCTACCTTTATAGGATCTCAAATATTTACCACTCTACCTCCATTCACCCTTGGCAATAATGCAATTCCTAGGAGTGGTCCCCTGCATTCACTAAATTAGGGCTCTTGCTGTTCAGGAAGCCGTCACTTCATGCTTTTCTTTCTGTCTCCCTGTAGTGACATCTACCACTCAGGTCTCTGATTTCTATGTTGCTACGAGATGTGTACCAGCTGTGCCATCATCTCGGGTGCTATGCATTTGCAAAAGTGCCATCTACTATAGCTGTGGACTCACACCACCCCTAGTCCTATGGCACTGCTGACACTGCCTCTGTGCTGGAGAACTTGATGTGCCAAGCCAGGGGGTTCCAGGGCTGCTGGCATTATCCCTTGTACTGTTGCAGCTGCTGGCATCCATGCAGCTGACAAAACAAAAAATAGGGAGATGAATGACTATGACATTGCTTTATATTTTTGCATGTCTATTTAATATCTAGCTTAATAAAAGATAGCTAGGTTCTCCTATTTGCTTCTGCATTTAGTTAGCTGTGATGTATTGTTTTGGTTGAAATATATGAAGAAACTCTGGCCTAATACAAATCTGAAGCTGGAATATGGAAAAGTATTTTAATAATCCTTTTAGATAATAATGGGTATTCTTCTGTGATTCTGTATCAGAAACCTTGATGCTATACCAAAACTTGACAGTGGTAGTTTCTTAAAGAATGGTCACATTGTGGTATCTGAGACATATTAGTGAACTTTTCTTAACCCGTTAAATTAAAATCCATTTGTCTGTCTTGTACTTTGAATAGGTAATGCTTTTGTAACCCATGCATGCTTTTGTAACATCATGCATTAGTCATTTGGAAAATATTATTTGTGTAGTTTGCAGATCTTTAAAATGTTGACATGTTTATCAAAAAGTCATGTTCTCTATCAGAAAAGCCTTTAAGCATTGTGACTCTGTTAAGCTTACAGATCAAGTTTAACAGAATTCTAATTTTGCATAAAAATTTCAATTTTATCATTGACACAAATATCATCAGTTGCTTTCCTTGAAGTGATGAGTTTCTTTGTTAAATTAAAAATATATCTACCAAATATTCCAAGTCTGAATAACCATAGTGCCTGTTGGCATCAGAGCCATTCTTAAATGAAGCTGCCTCTCACCCCTTTTAACTGAGAATGTATGGGTATGAGGAATATAATATGCTAGTTATATATATAGGAATATAAAATGCTAGTTATTTGGTGCCATGGCTTCAATTCTTTGTAAGCTCTAGCAGTTTTACCCACCACTGATTTTACACCATTAGTGCAAATGTTAATGTGGTGAAAAAGAAGTCATCTTTGTATTAAGAAAAGACTAGTTTTGACCTTGTTGTGAACCTCCTGAAAGGTTCTCAGGGATTTTCAAGGGTCTACAGACTACCTTTTGGGAACTGCCAATCTAGGCCATGATTTTCCTCATTTTAAATAACATGGTCTAGTTTAATACTCAAATTTTAACATAAGTATCTTGAAAACCATTTTTTCTAGACTTATCTGTCTCATGTAACTATATTTCTTTTATAAATGTATTTCTATGTAGATTTTCTCAGGAACTACAATTAAAAATACAGAAAGATACCAGAAATATTTCTGTATCTAAAAAATCGCAAAACAGAAAGAAAGAAAAGGATAAAGATGATCCCTTAGATCAAGAGAGAAAAACTCTTGTGGTGCAGGTAAATAAATGTCCATGTTTGAATGTGTATTGAATTTTGAATTTAACATATCCTTACATTTTTGGAGAAAAAATGAAGATTAAAAAAGTTTTCCGAATGGTGAATAAATTGTTAACTTTTAGCTTAATGCCTTATCTATTAATATTACCTGTTTAAAAAAACCTTAACATGTATTGAATGTCTGCTGTGTACCAGACTGTGTACCAGACTGGGCAATAGGGCTTATCAAGAACTCACATTCATTCAAGAACAGTTAGACACATGTACCTGCATATAAACCCATGGATACAGACACACACCCACACCCACGCCATTTTTTACTTAAAGGACAGGAGGGAAAAATAACATTCTTAATATTTTATATAAAGTGAAACATTTAAAAATTTATATTTCGGTATTTAACTTATTTGACATTTACTTTTTCTGGTACATCAACCACAATCTGTTCTTGGTAAGCTGATTCAAATCCAGTAATAACTCACCCCCATTTTCTCAAGTGAACCAAAAGAAGAAAGAATTCTCAATTTTGTGTTCCCTGACTCAAAATATTTAAGAACAAAAGTGGGCAGGCTTGTTTTTTCTTCCATGGTTTTTACACTGAAATATATATAAATATTTGATATATGTGTATATCATATAAATTATATACACACACATATACGTATATATATATGCATACACATATGTGTGTGTGTGTGTGTGTGTGTGTGTGTGTATCAGAGCTAGTGTGAATTATATTTCCATTTGAAAGAAATGTCTGACCAAGAATCCTGGGTTTTATTTTAATTTTGTATGTAGAATAAAGAAAACAGGGAAGTGAAAGGTGGTATCTGTGGAATTCTGCTTTAGTTGACCAGTGCCTTACAGGAAGAGGTGATTTTCCATTCTCCTCAGATCATTAATATTATTAACATTTTTGCTAATGGTCAGGATACCAATGCTGATCCCAAAATTAAGGATTCTAAAGTATTTTAAATAAAAAGGTCAAAAATTGATGGAAAAAAAGTTGAAAAAGTCAGTGGAGCTTCAAATGCCAGCTGCCTCCATGACAATGGGATGAGCCATATCAAAACAGTGCCTTCAACAAGCCTCAGAGACTGCAGCAACGGCAGTATGGATCACACAAAGAATCCAGGAATGGCAATTCCCCCACTTATGCACAGCGTTGCTAGAGGGGCTCCCAGTGTTAATTCTGGAATGAGTACTCTCTCAGGAGTTCAGAGTAACAGGTACGAATCAGTAAAACAAGAACAAAGTGTTGCATAGGGATATATTTGCAAAGTTTAAGTGCTTGTCGATGCAGTCACGTTGTATTACTCTCAGGCTTCTGGATGCTATTCACTCTTGCCAGGTTGCTGTTTCAAAAGATTTTTTTGGCTTATGTGATGAAAATTACTAATACTTAATAAAAAAAAACTCACCTGAGTCCTAAGAAAGTAGGATTTGTATTGTTTAAGGTGAAGAGAATCTACAGCTACTTCAGTCTAATAATGGGAAAGGAGATTGTCATAATAAAATAAATAATTGGTTTTGAGGGTCTACTGCTGCATGGTATAGCTGTGGACATTTTACTTTACAAAGAAGCTGCTGTGGGGAATTTTGTTGAAAAGAAGGTAATTTATTTGGTTGGAGTCAGGGGCTGGATGGGTAATTGTGGGTAACAGTAAAGGACAGAATGTTTTGTCACAGCTCTGTGCATTGTATATCAATTAAGCATTAAATTCCAATTAAGCTGCATGTCACTTGGTACTGTGTTGTTTGGCTTTGTGCTTGAAAAGATTATTGCTGGTTCTAACTTAGATTTTGTTGTTGTTACAGAGTGGATGAGAAGACCAAGAAGTATTGTATTCCATTTGTTAAACCAAACAAACATTCTCCATCAGGGATTTATAATATTAATGTGACCACATCAGTAAGTGAACTGTTTTAGGTGGTAGTAGAGTGTCAGACTTCTATTAATATTGAATATTATAGTGATAAACTGAGAATTTTATTTGAAGACATATCACAAGTGAAATCAAATTATGCATATATCATTTCAGCCTGTTATAATAATAAATGTGAAAGTCTTAAAGTATAAGCTTTATAAAGTTTTACAAGTCTGGAAGTTTAAATGTAAGATGTTATTATTAAATTGACATCTGTTTTAAATTTTTTGATAACAGTAAATTTTCTTATTGGTTATCAGTTCAATTCATTTAACAAATACTTATGATTATCTATTATATCTAAGAAACTGGAGATGAGTAAGTGAGTCTTTCTCTTCAAGAAGCTCATGGTCTAGTAGAGGATTACCAAATTAAAACAGCGTCAGATTGTAATAGCAGAAGTATGTACAAGGTTCTTTAAGCCTTTTACTGCTTGCCAGGGCTTACACTGAGGGTTGGTAGAGGAGGATGAAGAAGTTCATAGCAACCAAGTAATCCATTTGATAGTCATTTTAATAAATTTCATCAGGAAGAAGTTTGAAATAGTTGTATGAAATTGTTTTGTATGTTATTAATGTTCCTCAAAATTTTCATCATTCTAGCCCTTCAATTCCATGAATTTTACGGCATTTAGATAGTAGTTACAAAACAGGGCAAGTCTAGTTTACCTGGAAGCTAATTCATTTTGTTAACCTTTCTGATGATTATTAGGTCACTAGTGAAAAGAACCTTCTTCAGGCACATAAGAAAAGAAGGGAATACTCAAAGACAGACGTCCATTTGTCTGAACTAAACTATAATCATCTACCCAAACTAAGAGCCTTGGAAGGTGTAGGTATGTTTATAAGCTTTTACTTTTTCTTTTGCTTACATTACTTAAAATCTATGTTAAATAAACTACAAGTATTAAAAATGAAAATTCATAGTTACTTGTATATATTGAAGGACAGATAAAAAAAGTGAAAAAGTAACAAAAATGTCTAAGTTTTTCAATGTGTTTATGGCTATTTTTATCTAGCTCAAAATTCCAGGCTAATAAGGAAAGAGAACAAAAATCATTCAGAATCTCAAATTCCTTCTCTAGCTGCTATTGACTTGCACACTCCCAGTATTGCATTACATCAGGTACAGAAATACTCTTTAGGTAGGATGGAACTTGGGTCTCTCATACTTCATATTTATTAAAGTACCTTAGGGAGAGTTTGCTCTTAAGGATTGGTGGGATCTATCAAATTTTGCTTGTTAAATTTTGTTTTGTGGTTCATTGCACTTAGAGTCATCAATTTTTATATAGATTAAAAATTGTGTGTGTTTGTGTGTGTGTGTGTGTAGCCTAGCTTTGGCTTTTAAATAAATATAGGTTTTGTGGTAGTTTATAGTATTTCATTGCATTAATCCCAAAGTTAAAACCTATCTTTCTTTTCTTTCTATTATAGTGTCATTACTATACAATCTTATGTTTTGTTTCAAATGTACATCACAGTGGTGCAACAGTCTCCGTGATCAAGTTGTATTTTGATTGTGAATTATTGTGCCCTTTTATCCCCCTCCCCTCCCACCCTGTGCCCGTCCCAACCCTTCCCCCTTGGTAACCACTAGTAACTTCTCAGTGTTTATGAGTCTACTGCTAAAACCTATCTTTCAAGCAGTGGAACTCTGGGATTGATTTTATTCTTTTAAAATGTATTTTCTATTTGACACTTTTCTCTAAGACAGTCTACTCTATCCATATTAAAGACTTGCTATTTCATGTAGTGATCTTTTTCTGTATTTTCTTTTAACTCTTCATTATAATTATGTTTCTGCTACTTCTATATCAACAGCAGTCATATCATTCATTTTCACATTAAGAAAACTGGCAAAACTTTTAATCTCCTGAGCTAGTCATAACTAGTTACAAACTTTGAATATGTATAATTATACTTTACCTTTACTTCTTCAAACAGACTTCTCACCTATGCTTGATGCTAGGCAACTGTTCTGTAATTTAATTCTTTATCCTCATTATTTAATAGCATTGCATTTCATAGAAAGCATCCTGTATGTTGCCTTCTTATCTAGATGTATGCTTTTTCCTACTGTTACTCCTTAAATAATATTGCAGAGCTCTAGAAACAAGGGAACTAATACATTTAAGATAACAAATTACAGAGGTGATTACCTAATGATACTGAGAAAAAGCAATGTCTGTAGCAACATAATCAAAACAAACACAAATTCCTGTTGTGTGAAGATTAATCAGTCACAAATTGTACATTTAGGAACTACAGAGCCTTAGTAAATTCCTAAACTTAAATTTAATATGAATTTTTAAAGGGTGCAGAATTTTTCTCCTGTTCTTTTTTGTTGTTGTTATCATTAATCTACAATTACATGAAGAACGTTATATTTACTAGGGTCCTCCCTTCACCAAGTCTCCCCCACAAACCCCATTACAGTCACTGTCCATCAGCTTTGTAAGATGTTGTAGAATCGCTACTAGTCTTCTCTGTGTTGCACAGCCCTCCCCATGCCCATGCCCCCCCCCACATTATACATGCTTATCTTAATACCCCCTTTCTTTTTTCCTACCCTTATTCCTCCCTTCCCACCCATTCTCCCCAGTCCCTTTCCCTTTGGTAACTGTTAGTCCATTCTTGGGTTCTGTGATTCTGCTGCTGTTTTGTTTCTTCAGTTTTTCTTTGTTCTTATACTCCACAGATGAGTGAAATCATTTGGTATTTGTCTTTCTCTGCCTGGCTTATTTCACTGAGCATAATACCCTCTAGCTCCATTCATGTTGTTACAAATGGTGGGATTTGTTTTCTTGTTATGGCTGAATAATATTCCATTGTGTATATGTACCACATCTTTATCCATTCATCTACTGATGGACACTTAGGTTGCTTCCATTTCTTAGCTATTGTAAATAGTGCTGCGATAAACATAGGGGTGCATCTGTCTTTTTCAAACTGGGCTGCTGCATCCTTAGGCTAAATTCCTATAAGTGGAATTCCTGGGTCAAATGGTATTTCTATTTTGAGCTTTTTGAGGAACTTCCATACTGCTTTCCATAGTGGTTGAACTAATTTACATTCCCACCAGCAGTGTAGGGGGGTTCCCCTTTCTCCACAACCTCACCAACATTTGTTGTTGTTTGTCTTTTGGATGGTAGCTATCCTTACTGGTATGAGGTGATATCTGATTGTGGTTTTAATTTGCATTTCTCTGATAACTAGCAATGTTTTCACCTGTTCTTTGTTCAAAACCACAGGGTTGACATGACCAAATTCAGTTTCATGCAACAGAAGAAAGGCTTCGGCTGCCTTTGTACTTGTTCAACATTTTTATTTGTTTTTCTGAACTAATCTTTTTATATTTGTACTGGTTTTGCATTTTTTCTTTCAATTTACTTGTTCAATTTCCAGTTTTTAAAATACAATAAAGGAGAAAATAGATATATAAAAACACACTTTAACACCAAAATAACAGAATTTATGTGTGGAAAATCTGAATGGAAAGAGAAACAACAGCAGACTGAAAGCAAGTCTTTTGGCAGAAGCTGTGATTTGCCTCTTTTTGATATTCATCAGTAGATTGAACTGCATTTTATTTCTGTACACAACTCACATATTTCACATTTGTAACAGTCTAGCATGTGTCTTTTGGAACAATCCTAAAATAGATACTGTAAGTAAGGTATTGTATAATCTGTGTCCACTCCCCCACCCCTACACAGTTATACATTATGTACTTATAGCTATACATTTTTTCCTCTAAGCACTGTTTTAGCTTCGTCCCACAAATTCTGATATATTGTATTTTTCATTATCATTCAGTCCAAACATTTTCTTATTTTCCTTGTAATTTCTTCTTTAACCTATGAATTATTTAGAGACATATTGTCTAATAGTTTTTGGGATTTCCCCTAGATAGTTTGTTAGTATTGATTTGTAATGTACATATAGTCAGAGAATATGCTTTGCATGATTTTTATTCTTTTAAATTCACTAAAATGTGTTTCTTTGGTGAATAAACCTCATTCCCTTGAAAATAATGTATATTCTTTAGCTGTTAGATATAGTATTCCATAAATATGAAGTCAGATTAAGGTGGTTCAGATCTTATTTGTCTTTAGTGATTTTTTAATTTAGTTTTGTAAGTTCCAGAAAAAGTGCTATCAAAATCTTTTACTATGATTGTGGAAGTGTCTATTTTTTTCTTATATCTGCTTATTTTTTGCTTTATGTATTTTAAATCTTTATTATTAGGTACATAAACACATAATTATTTTGTATTCTTGATACATTTCCCTTTTATCATTATGAAATGTCTTGTTATCTCTTGTAGTGCTCTGTGCCTTGAAGTCTATTTTATGTGAGATTAAAATAGCCACTCCAGTCTACTTATGCTAATTTGTTTCCATGGTATACCTTTTTACTTTCATTTGCTTTCAACCTACCTGGTTGTTATATTTAAAGTGTTTCTTTTGCCAATAGCACATAAATTGGGTCTTTGCTTTGTATCGATTCTGTCAACTCCAATTCTTTTAATTGGAATGTATACTAATTTTCTATTGCTGCTAACAAATTACTGCCAATTTAAGACAATATCCAGTTATTACCTCACATTTTCCATGTGTCAGAAGCCTGGGCACAGCTACTTCTCTTCATAAGTGTCTCATGCACCAAAATCAGATGTCAGCAGGGCTAAGTCTCTTTCTAAAGGCTGTAGGGAAGAATCTGTTTCATTCAGGGAAGAATCAGGTTCACTCAGGTTGCTGGCAGAATGTAGTTCCATGTGGTTGTGGGACTGAGGTCCCTCTTTCCTTGATGGCTGATACCCAGTGGTGGTTCTCAGAGGCCACCCACATTCCTTGGCTCATGGCCTAATTCCACTTTTAAAGCCAGCAACAGTGTTCTAATCCTTCTTACTCTTTCACTCTGACTGACTCCTCTTCTTCCTCATCTCTCTGACTTATTCTGTTTTGAGGGCACATGTGATTACATTGGGTCGACAGGATAATTTCTTTATCTTAGGGTCAGCTGATTAGTAGCCTTATTTTTGTGTGCAAAGTCCCTTTGCAACAGTAGCTAAATTAATTTGACTAACCAGGGATAGGAATATTAAGGAGATACCTTTAGAATTCTACTTACTACTGAATATTTAGGTCATTACCATTTAATATGATTATTAATATTTTTGGATCTGACTGTCTTTTTAGTATTATTTTTGTTTGTTCGTCTGTTTTCCCTTTCCAGTCTTCTTTTTGTATTTTGACTTTTTAATATTGTTTTTTGGGAATATCTCTTTATATTTTTTTAAATTATTGCTCTAGGGATTACAATATACATAAATAATCTTTCAGTCTATGTAAATATTGTACCACTTATAAATGTAGAAACCTTGTAAACATATTTTCCAACTTAGTGTTAGAGTTATCATATGTATTCTATTTATATGCATTGAAAACCCCACTACAATATGTCATACTTTTTGCTTTTAACAGTCATAAATATTTTAAATAATCTGTGAGAAAAAATGTGTCTTCTGTATTTACCTAGTCACTTATAGTTTCTGTTGCTCTTTCTTAAAGATTACAGTTTTGTTTTCTGGTTATCATTTCTCTTAGCTTGAAAAACTTCCTTTAGCATTTCTTGCAGAGCAGGTCTGATGATGACAAATTCTGAGAATGACTTTGTTATTCCTTCAATCTTGAAATGTATTTTCACTGGATATAAAATTTGAGTTGGTAGTTTTCTTTAATTTTATTTCTCCCAGGACTATGAAAATATTATTCTCTGTCTTCTGATTTCTATGATTTCTGGTTCTTAGGCACTTGAATTGCTCTTCCACTCTATGTAATGCTTCATTTTCCCCTAGCTGCTTTCAAGGTTTAATTTTTATCTTTTGTATTTAGTAGTTTAAATATCATGTGTCTAGGCATAGTTTTCTTTGAGTGTATCCTGGTTGGGGTTTGCTGAGCTTCTTGAATCTGTAAACTTATTTCTTTTACCACATTTGGAAATTTTTGGTCATTATTTTTTCAAGCACTTTCCTTCCTCATATTCGCTTTCTCTTCTCCTTCCAGTGACACATATGTTAGACCTTTCAGTATTTTCTCACAGGTTCCTGAGACTCTTCACTTTCTTTAACCTTTTTTCTCTCTATTCTTCAGACTGGGTAATTTCTATTGATCTATGTTCAAGTTATTTGACTCTTTATTTTGTCATTTCCATTCTGCTCTTAAGCCCATTTAGTGAAGTTTTTATATTTCAGATACTGTTATTATTTCTTAGACCTAAAATGTCCACACAGTTCTTTTTTAGAGCTTCTAGTTCTCTACTAAGAATTTATGTCCCTTCATGCACTTTAAGAATGTTATCTGTTACCTCATGTAACCTATTCATAATGGCTGCTTTAAAGTGTGTGTATGTATATAAATAACTAGTATAAGAAGTTCCAACATCTTGGCTAACTCGGGATTAATATCTTTTGGTTACCTTTTCTCTTAAAAAAAAGATATCACATTCTTAGATCTTTCTGTGTCCAGTACATTTAGATTGTATCTTGGACATTTCGAATGTTATGTTGTGTACCTCTGAGTCCTATTATAATCCTCTGGAGATTGTTGAAATTTTTGTTTTAGCAGGTAGTCACCCAAAGTTTTGTTCACACTGTAAATTCTGCTTTACTTTCTGTGAGAGTTTGAATTTCAGCTCTCTAATACCCTAGTTTGCACCCTGTCATGTGCCTGTAGTTTGGGGGTTAACTGGAGACTTGGGCATGTGATTCAAACCTCAGCTCAGTTCTTTAAGCCTTTGCTGTGTGTGTTTGGCACTCTACTATGCATGCACACGTTGGGAATTGGACTAAGACTTCTGCAGGTTTATACACGGAATTAGAAGATACACTTCTCCAGTTCTCTTTCTGGTAGAATTTCCCCCAATACTTTTTGGCCTTCAGGGACTCCTTTTCCTGTTTTCTATGTCTTTGTAAGATGGATTTCTTTTGGAAATTTACTCTCTTGCACTTCCTCACTACTGTGAGACTAGAGCTACCCTTTAGGCAAAGCCACAGGAGTGAAAAGCAAACAAAATTGGAAACCTACCCCCATGTGAAGGGTCACATCTCCAAGTTTTGACTCCTTCTTTCATCCTCAGTTGTTTTCTGTATTTTTCCTAAAGGGTTTTGTTTCATTTGTTTTTCTGGTAATAAGTAGGAGAGATGGATTGTAGTGGGTCTACACTGCCCTAGCACATCAGATGTATCTTTTAACACGTGTCACAAAGGTGTCAAAGAATAACCTCCCTTTATTTCATCCTCTTCTGTGCAAGCAACTTGATCTGTGAATAATTAATTCTAAGCATCTGATACTTGAACAACAAGAATTGGAATTTTTGGGAAGTGGGACTTTTACAATGAATGAGAACCTATAATGCTTGATTATTAATTTACAGGTATCAAGCTCTGCCCTGTCAGATGATTTGGAGGGTGATTTGCCTCAAGTGGAACACTAGCACTGAGAGTCATTTTGGTTCTGAACTGGGTAGGTCTGATTTCTCATTGGAAACTAGTTAAAGCTGTGTAACCTTTCATGGGAAGTATTTTGTAGCTTGCTGAAGACCAAATTCTGCAGTTGCCTAGTGACTGATTACATGAGAACTCCTGATAAAGAAGTTATACTACTTAGAAAAACAAAAGTAGCATTTGTGTCTAGAATGAAATTCCTTTTCATCAAGTTCACATCTCTTTCTCTTAAGTTAATCTTGTATTTTACTGAATGCAGATATGTGAACTTAGGGTGACAGGTGCTCTGGAAGGAAATATGTTTGTCTTCCTTATCAGTCATTTGCCCTTCAGGTTTGGTAGCAAGAAAGATAAAATGATTGCTTGGTAATCTTTTTCTCAATTAAGAGGGATCAGCACTTTACCAAATGATTGCTTTCCTTTTAAATATAGCTTTTTAGTACCAAAGAAACAAAACCAAACATCAGACCTTTTTGAATGATAATTTGCTATGTGACCTCAGACAAGTCATTCAATGTTTAATACCTCATTAACTCTATAAAATGTGATGGTACTAAAATCCTACATTCTTATAACTGTGTTATTGGAATTAATATGTTAACCTCCACAAAGCATTTTGAACATCTGTGACATCAAATGTGAATTTACTGTGAAGTGAACAAATCTTACATTTTAAGCCTTCATTTGTACAGGTCCCTTCCAGGGCCCTTGTAGAAGGCTTTTCAGTGCATTCATCATACATGCTGTATAAACTGCAGGCTCTATAAAACTTGTGTCTGTTTTGTCAAAATTAGTCATTATTTACATAAAAGCAGATGTGTGCTACACGTGATAGTTTAGGTTAGTTATTATCCTAAAGATCGTCTTTAAAATCTTGCTTTCGATACATATGGGCCAAGGTTTTCTTAGACTATGTAATACCTGTACTGATATTATCAATATAAACAATGTGCAAAAGTGAGATAGAAATCAATTTCTAGAAAGATTTTATGTAAAGTATTTGGTGGCATATGTTCCCCTTGTATTCTTAGATGCTGCTCTAACACTTGAGATGACATCCTCTTGCGAAAAAAGTGCAAATATCCTAGGAGAGATTCGTGGTTTTGATCATATACTTCTGAGCTGCCTGCATTTTCTGAGAAAGGCCTTGCAGAAGAAGGAAAGACAAACTTTTAAATGTTTCAAAGGAAGATGCAATAAGTGCCCCTCTGATGCTATTTCAAGATATAGCCAGTGAAAGAATAGTGATATGGTTCTTGTTGAATGAATGTGTATTTACTATTAGTAGATTGTATATTTAAAGTTACCCCAGATTAGAAGTGAGTAAATAAAAAAAAAGGAGGAGGAGAGAAACATTATAAAAGGTCATGTTATTTTTGTGTGTTCAACTTTGTATGTTATGTGAATAAATGTGTACAGTTATTTAAGAGTGATTTTGGTGAACATAGGTCACAAAAACTAGGATGAGTAAGAGAAAATGTTTCCTTTACTCCAATTGAATGGATAAAGAAGATGTGGTACATATACGCAATGGAATATTATTCAGCTATAAGAAGAAAACAAATCCTACCATTTGCAACAACATGGATGGAGCTAGAGGGTATTATGCTAGGTGAAATAAGCCAGGTGGAGAAAGACAAGTACCAAATGATTTCACTCATCTGTGGAGTATAAGAACAAAGAAAAACTGAAGGAACAACACAGCAACAGACTCACAGAACCCAAGAATGGACTAACAGTTACCAAAGGGAAAGGGACTGGGGAGGGTGAGTGGGAAGGGAGGGATAAGAGGACTGAGAAGCATTATGATTAGCATACATAATGTAGGGTGGAGCACAGGGAAGGCAGTATAGCACAGAGAAGACAAGTAGTGACTCTATAGCATCTTACTATGCTGATGGACAGTGACTGTAATGGGGTGTGTTGTGGGTACTTGATATTGGGGGGAATCTAATAACCACAATGTTGCTCATGTGATTGTATATTAATGATACCAAAATAAAAAATATATATATAAGAAAAAAAACACAAAGGAGTTAGCAACAGGAGGGCTATGTTTAGGTGTACCTCTGCCAGCTGAGAGCCTCAGGGGTCAGAAGAAGGAGATGACTTGAGGGTACAAAGAAAAAGAGGGTTAGAAAGGAGAATAGATCTTGGGAAAACTACACTGGGAAAGCTGTGTTAAAAGTGCCCCCAAACCAGAGAAGGACAGCCACACGCCAGGCCAGGCTGTCCCTGCTGTCCACCAGAGAACAGGACCTTGACTTTGGGGAGGATGCCACTCCTACATGAGCTTTTAAAGTATTTAAGTTTGAGGTTTTGACGTGTACTTGAGATTAGACTAACTGTTCTAGGTTTGAAATTCTTACTTTTGTTTACTGGGGTATTTTGTGATTGAAAATTCTGAGCAAAAAAAAAAAACAATGGAATGATTTCCAAAGGAATTTTGTATGTTAAGTTATGCCTTATACACACATCTTGTCTTTGTGTTTGTGGTCAGTAGTAATAACAGCAAGAGTTTCTGCTTACTTTCACAGTCATTGTAACAGGAGAACCAAATGACCTTTTGTGGTTGCTATAAAATACTATAATGTTTGGTAGCAAACAGAATCCACTTACTCTTGCTCAGGTTAGAGTTACTGTTACCATCTACTGTATCATTAGTTTGAATGTTCTTCGTGCATTCTAAATTATCCAATGGCATAGCAGAAACTATCAGCCAAATTAATTCGGGTAGTAAGAGCAAAACTGGCACAGAGAGTGGGCCTTTACAAGATGTGGTCAGGTTGTAAAAATTCAGGGAAAACCCATTATGATAACACTTGTTTCTAATATGCAGCTATTGAATTGGTAAAGAAAGACCAGTGGCTTTTTACCATGTCCTGTTTCCCCTGAAATTTTACTTAAAAAATTTTTAATCCCCAATACTTTTTGCTCTTGAGATTTTTCTGTCTTCTGGGTTCTTTATTCTTTTTATGTTTAAAAATATGCTGACACAATAGTTCAATTCTTAACTAGGGATTTGAGCATGTTACAATTACTGTCATTGGAATTTAAAAAGTATTAATCATCCATGTACAGGGAAATGGTCAGGGATGCTGTTGTGAAATTGAAACTGTAAAAGCAGGTGGTTAAAAGTAATTGTATGTTGCTCTATAAGAACTAGTCCTGTTGCATCACGTACATAATTCCTAATCATTTTTCTTCCTCTTTACAGCATGTTTGAATTCTAAACTAAAAAAAACAAAACAAAACACATACATGTAAAATTAATCTTGAGTTTATCCATGCCTTGAAGATAAGTTAATAATAAAATCCTAGTCCTACATCCCACACTACAACCTTATAATGATTCATGCATTGGTTGTAAGAGTCACGGGGCATCTAGATGGGTTGAGCTGGGACTGACATTCAGTGATACTTGGGAGAGGCTAGTTGTTAATTGGAAGGAGGAGGGAAAGTTTGGTTGGAGGTTTGGGTCTCAAAGAGAGAAATGGAGGATGTCAGATGTCAAGTACTTCTACAACCACCACATGGGTTGAAGTTGAGCCCAGGGAGTCGAAGCTGACAAAAATGTCTTTACAAGAAACTTGAGGAACCTCTGAACATAGCAGAACCCCTAGGGTTCAAACAGATTAAGCACTCCTTAACACTGGGGCCTTAGAAATGGGAAAAGGAGACTGTTTATTGCATGGACAAAAGTAAAAGATGCGGTTAAAACTCAACAGTGTTATTAGCACTTTGCCCCTGTGAAGGATATGGCTTACGTGAGTAGGGCTTTACCGCCACCTCCTGGATCACGGCTTGGCAGCACGGGATGGTCCTGGGCAACAGATCAAAGGAAAGGGCGTCATCCGAGTGAAATGGGTGTAAGGCCATCATCAGCAACTCCCAAGCTCAGAACTTTCATAACTCTCCTTAAATAATTCCTGTTCATCCAAGCAGAACTGACTTCTCCTTCATGCCTCTACTCTAGAGGGGTGAAATGCTTATCTCTCATTAACTTATTTCCTCCCAAAACCCAGCAAAGGAGGGGGACCTGACTACCTTGCTCTAAAAAGGCAAATGTAATGAAAAATGCATTCTTCTGGCTCATTTGTACTTCCCAGTACAATATAACTTTTGATTATGACATAGTTTGACTCAAACTATATCACCTGCATCTGGTGTTTGCCTTTGTTTTCATGTGGTAAGAAATATATCTATAAAGGAAAATCTCTAATAGTCAAGCTAAAATCCATTTTACTTTTTTTTTTAAAGAACTTTCATATTCTTTATTCACAGAAGGAACCCAAAACACCAATAAATATGTGAAAACAAAAAATATATGTAAATATGTGCAACCTTAGTAATAATCAAGAAAATGTAAACTAAAGATAATTTTCACCCAACAGATTGATCAAAAAGGAAAGTATTAGTAGTATCAAGTATGGCCAGGTGTGGGGAAACATTTTCTTTAACACTGTTGATGAGAATGTATATTGGTAGAGCATTTTTAGAGGACAATTTGGCAGAATTAATCAAAATATCAAATGAAGCTTATCTTATCAAAAAGAATAATACCTAGGAATAAACCTAACCAAGGAAGTAAAAGTACCTGTACTCTGAAAACTGTTAAGATATTCATGAGAAGAATTAAAGAAGACACAAATAAATAGAAATCTAACCCATGCTCATGGATAGAAATCCTACCCAAAGCAATTTACAGATTCAGTGCAATCCTTAATAAAATACCAATGGCATTTTTCAATGAACTAGGACAAATAATTCTAAAGTTCATATGGAACCATAAAAGACCCCAAATAGCCAAAGCAATCCTGAGAAAGAACCAAGCTGGGGGCACTATACTCCCTGACTTCAAGCTATACCACAAATCTATAGTAATCAAAGCAGTATGGTACTGGCACAAGACCAGACCTATAGATCAATGGAACAGAATAGAGAGCCCAGATATAAACCCACACATATATGCTCAATTAATATAGGATAAAGGAGCCATGAATATACATTGAGGAAAAGACAACCTCTAAATAACTGGTGTTGAGAAAACTGGACAGTTACATGCAAGAGAATGAAACTGGATTACATTACTGCTTAACTCCATACACAAAAATAAACTCAAAATGGATCAAAGACCTGAATGTAAATCATGAAACCATAAAACTCTTAGAAGAAAACAGGCAAAAATCTCTTTAATATAAGCATGAGCAATTTTTTTCCTGGACACACCTCCTTGGGAAAAGGAATCAAAATAAAAAGCAAACAAATGGGACTACATCAAACTAAAAAGCTTCTGTTCAGCAAAGGACACTATCAGAACAAAAAGGCAACCTACAGTATGGAAGAATATATTTGTAAATGATTCATTGATAAGGAGTTAACATCCAAAATATATAAAGAACTCATACGCTTCAATACCCAAAAAACAAATAACTCAAAAAATGGGTGGAGGATGTGAACAGAAATTTCTCCAAGGAAGAAATACAGATGACCAACAGGCACATGAAAAGATGCTGTGCATTGCTAATCATCAGGGAAATGCAAATCAAAACCATAATGAGAAGTCACCTCACACCAGTTAGAACAGCCACTATCTGAAAGACAAGAAATAACAAATGTTGGTGAGGATGTGGAGAAAAGGGAACCCTCCTACACTGTTGCTTGGAATGTAAATTACGCCTGCTATGGAAAGCAGTATGGAGGTTCCTCAAAAAAACTAAAAATAGAAATACCATTTGATCCAATAATTTCACTCCTAGGAATTTACCAAAGAAAACAAAATCCCTGATTTGAAATCCCTATGTATATCATTGCATTATTTACAATACCCAAGTTATGGAAACAACTAAATGTCCATCAATAGGAGAGTGGATAAAGAGGTGGTATATATACACAATGGAGTATTATACAGTCATAAAAAAAATCTTGCCATTTGCAATAACATGGATGGATCTAGAAGGTATTATGCTCAGTGAAATAAACCAAGTAGAGGAAGACGAATACCGTAAGATTTTATTTATTTGTAGAATATAAAAACAAAACAAAACAAAATGAACAAAATATCAGAAACTGAGAAGTGACTGGTGGTTACGTGGGGCGAGAGACAGACAGGTAGTATACATGTAAACAAAAGGAGTGATGATCCAAGGAAGAGCACTAAACACAGGTTGAAGAGGAAAGTAACCAATTGAAACAGTGTTGTCATAGGGTGGAAGGATAGTTTTAAATTCTAGCAGCAATATTAATGGAGCTCACTTTCCAGATCTAGAGGCATGGAGATAAATTGACTAAAAAACTATTCTCTTGACCAATAGGAGATCTTACCCTGGTCCAAGGACAGAAAACTATGCTGAATTGAGGTATTTTGGTTTTATTTCCCCACTTTTTTATTTTAGTTCATGTTAACCAACAACACATTTTCC